TACGAAAAATAAGGTTGCACAAAATGTGGTTTGGGCAGCATGTGTCTTCAGGCCATAAAAGAGGAACAACGGAATCGACAGTTCAGAAAAAGGGTCACTATATCCCGTGCCGGAGCATAATCCACACACATGCCAACTCCACGAGTCTCTCAGCTTCTTCCGTCATACCGCATGGCATTTCGTCTCAAGCCTTTGCAAAAGGTTTTAATAAAAAAAGTTGTTTTGACTCAAAATAAAATGTGCTTTAGAATCTGCTCAAGGAGCACAAGCATGCGCTCCAAAATACCACTCGACCGCAAGTGACTAATCATTCATCCACAAGGAGAGCCGGGCTTCCCAAGGGGGCCGCACCAGAGTGGATGTGTCTAGTCCTCCCCAGGCGGGCTTTTTGGTTGTTTGCATCTTTTTGCTATTGTACACAGCACTGCGCCGAACACGGGTGTGCATGAATCTGTTAGTGCTCTGTTTGTTATTTCCTTGGGGCACATACTGAGGAGAGAGGTGGCAGGGTAACTAAACTCTGCCACCTACGCACAATAGCATATTATGCAGCTCTAAAAACAATCATGAAACTGTCAAACACACCCATGACATGGCGGATTTGGGAGACATTATGCTCAGCAAAGTTAGTCCACCTCATAGACACAGAGACTGCATGACACCACTATTATAAAAGAAACACGAAGAAAATTGGTTTTCACACCAAAAGAAGCGGATGTTGAAGGCTACTACAGCAAGGCTTGGGTGGGTGAGCAGGGATCAAAATAAACAGACAACAAAACCAATTTCAGTCTAGAAAATTTTTTTTTAAATGTGTTTCATTCAAAAAAGGAAAAACACCACACAGTTTTGTATGTGCTTTCTGAGCATCTTGAACACGTTTGTTCTTCGCGACCTGTCGCCTGCCCATCAACCAGGGGTCAGTTTTGACTGCATTTCCCAGAACTCACATAGCCCCCCCCCCCTAGTCTCCCTGTGACCCATGGGCCTGTGTGAGGAGATGACTGTCCAAGATAAAGGAGTCATGCCTCGTCCATGAAATCGGAGGTCTGCTTAGGAAGCCGATCAGAAAAAAACAGCCTCATTAAAACTGGTTGGTCTGTAACATAAGAGAATAATGCACTGAGGATTGTTGAAATCTGCAGTCATGTAATGCCAGTGGCATTGTGGTCCCTTTTAGAGCAGCATTAAAGCCCCAGCACACATGCACATGAGAGAGACTCCTCTTAGAGACTTTACACATAATTGTATAGCAGACAAAGGGCTTTTCCCCACCCCTTCTCAAAAGAGTGCCAAATGGTCCTCTGTTGCTGTCCCCGCCATGAGCCATGCCACCTAACAAGGACACGGCTAACTTAGACTCTAATATAAGCAGGACACCAGCTCTCTTCACTCCCCTCTTGGGATGACTGTGCCGCCGTGCTCAAGACACCTCTGACCCTCCTCCAACAGGCAAATCAAGGCTGAGCGTCACAGCTCTGAATTTTCTGTCCGTCCCCCCCCCCAACATAAGAGCCAGCCAGCTCGACAGGCCTGATTACCATGGTAACAACACGCACTGTGATGATGAGTGTGTTTGTTTAAAAAAAAATGATTCAGATCATTCACCCAGAAGCCCCAGATGCATAGGTTTCTGGCTAATTAATAAAATCCTTCCAAAGTTTCTTGCCAATTTCTTGCTCCTTTCAGTTCTCCACGAGTGGGAATCCACAGGATGCCAGTGGGCCTGGGAGCTACATAATGGGAGCGAGAAAGACCGACTTGTCAAATCAAATATGCCCTTCTCTCTTACCATAGTGAATGATGGGGGGAGTGCGGAGTGGAGATCCAAAGCCCATTAGTAGGCCACTGGAGATCCCCTTGCAGAGGGGTCTAGGGGAGGAGA